TAGAGCGTCCTCCTCCCGCGACCTCTCCGCTGCCTCCTTCTGCGCCATAGGCCCTGAAGCACCTTAATCTATTTATCTAAAATACCGTTATTCCAGATGAAGCAATTGTCAGATTTCACTAGAACAGTGGCTAAATTAAAATAAAAATGTCTTCAAAGTTCTGAGACCAATCATTTTGAAATATTTTTGCATTTTTTTTTCTCCGTGACTTAAAAAAACTTTTATAGAAACCATGTACTGACAACAGCGAACACAACAAAAAATATAATTATCCAATTTGGTTCCAGGTTCACATATATACGGTTTAGATCACAGATCAATAAGAGAACAAGTAGTTATGATTATGACAAGAATAAGTCAATTTTGAAAAAAAAGTGTGGACGTGATGGGTCATGGCTTATTCTCCCTATGAGCCTGTGCCCCAGCAATGGAGACATTAATAGTCTGGTGATAACGATAATCCCACCCATTTTTAGTTGATGGCAGCACAATTATTATCACAAACTAGCAACATCTACGTTCTATTTATACGCCAATGGTGCCGTATTTTATAATCTTTACGACGCCTCCACACGACACGATACGTAAACGTTCCGGTCTACCGCTTTCTTCAAACGGTTTTATTGCCTCGAAACTTTGAAGCGCTTGTTGTCTTGTTTGAGGGAAGCTAATTTCGTACGCACCGGCGAAACACATCAAATTTTGTAATTCTTATGAGAATCTCGGTAAATGTATTCCAAAGACTGATCTCATTAATGAAAATGTAGCTCATTTTTAATAATGAGATCAGTCTTTGGAATACTTTGCTTAAACAGTTATAGGTATAGTAATTAGTCTTGCACCGTATAATTTTTAAACAGTTATTTTATTACCTAACTAGTTCGATTGTAAACTAACGCACTATTATTATATACATAACAGAACTATTTCCGCTCGTAGACTCCGTACTTGCTATATTGGGCGTGCAAGGTTGATTGGGCTAGCTAACACAGCCAGCCCAGCTCCTTGCAGAAGTGCAGTAGTCTCCTGGGACTCTCACAGGGTTCTAGGAACTTCCTCGGCTTCCCGAGGATTAGGACTTGGATTAGGTTCTATGTTATGAGATTAGGTTCTGCCACGTTTATGTATTTCAGGATCACATGAGTTACAAAATACGTAGGTAATCCTCAACTCTCTATTCCGTAACAGATGACAGACGATAAAGTTTCTGTTACAGCCGTCGCATTGGGATAAAAGAATATAGGTTGCCTAAAATGAGCTTTTAGCGAATTTTTAGTTCGTTAACATTCCATTGATACTCAATCACTAGTAGAGTTAATTATTAAGGAACCGGATTTTCCTATACGCAAGCGGTCTCTCCTTTTTATTACAAGCTTTTATATAACTTGCACGGTACTTATGTACGCAACCTAAAAATTTGAAAACGATTTTTCGACCCCTTCTTTTTATCTTATTCAGCTGAAATTTGGTATACTTATGTAAGTCTGGTGTATAGGTAATAGAATAATACTAGCAAACCAGTGAACCAAATGTTCACCAAAAAAAAAATGTATTTAATTAATTGAGAACTTCGGAGATTTTGTGTGGTTTCGTTTGAAATAGAAATCACGTGATTTCTCGAAAACCGGAAGTGCTACGTTACTCACATCCGGTTTGTAGTCTTATCAGACTATTCTTAACTTATAACTTAAACATTCTCTGTATCTATCTCTTACGGTTTGGCCGCTGAAACAGCACCACGGACGGACGGACGGACGGACTTGTCTAATAGATAAGAGATGGTACAAAGTGGCTGTTCTGATAATGGAGCTGGAAGTTGGTCATAGGAACTTCGTTATTAAACGACACAATCCTCTCGAGTTTGGGCTCGTTTGATTCGTCTTGTCGAGTACTTTGGCCTTAAATGGTAACCAGGTTCTGATCATGAAACTGGAAGGGGCCATGGGAACTTCCTAATAAAACGACGTAACCGCATCGAGATTGTGCTCATTTGGTTAGTATTGATGAGTAATATGGTCCTAGATAATATCCATATGCAACATCATCAGATTTAGACTCCTCTGGTAAGTTGGACCGTATGTCATGTGCTTGCGGGAACAACATTGTTAAAATAAATAAATAAAATATAGTAATATTTCCAACACTCACACCAATTAGCCTAGCCCCAAAGTAAGCACTGTTAGGCTTTTATTATGGGATTCTAAGGTAACGGATAGAATACATATATTGTACATATATAAGTATATTTATATAGAAATACATATTAAACATTCATGACTGGAGTACAAATGCTCGTATTCATCACACAAACATCTGCCCCCACCGGCGACCGACACCATGAAACCCGGCGTACAAAACACTCGGCCACGGAGGTCGTCAAATTAGTTAGATACAAACTATGTACTACACAAAGAAAACGACGTTCAGAGAAAAATAAATTAAATATCATATATAATTTATTTTTGACTTTTTACTTTTTTTTATTAACAAGCAATAGAAGTGTGTTTAAAGAAAGGTTTTTTTTTAGTGTGAATGATTCGCAATTTAATACATTACGCCTTCTCTGAATGTCGTTTTCTTTGTGTAGTAGTTCCTTTTTAACCGAATTCAAAAAAGCAGGAGGTTCTGTGTTTGACTGTATATTTTTAATGTTTTTTATTTCCCATGAAGCATAATAATTATATATTTTTTTCTTTTTTATATAGCTAGCGAGGTAGGCAAATGACTCTACCCCACCTGATGTTAAGTGGTGATAAAGTCCAAAAATTATACCTACCTACAACTGTCAAATGCACAAATAGCAAATACGAATAGCCATGAGAAGTGCTAGCTAGAGTAAATATGTACAATAAGATGATAGGAGATTACTATTCTAATTTGTTTCAAATTTCATAAATATGTGCACAGACCTTATTATATATATAACGAACTTACCTATACCTATGTGAAGTTCAATCATAATTATATGAGGTATTACTCCGAAGATGTTAAAACCATTTTTGAGCGGTATGCAATACATGGAAGCGATACTACAAGTGTAAATAATACTAAGATTAAGGACCAATGCCGAAGTATAATCAAAGATCTCCATTTACTTTGACTCCTTAGCAAGAGTTGGTCTTAAGTTAATCAACTCTCACAAGCAACCACTTGACGCGCTACGGTTTCTCTTACTTGCTGAACTTTGTTATTTGTTTAACCTTGATCTTAATAATGTTAATTCCTTAAAGAAATATGTTAAGACGGTCAATAAACCAACATAACATATTATAGAAGCTTTTGGGTGAGAAGCTGGTATTAATATGCGACAAATAAACGAACTAATTTCTTAAAATAAATTTGTTAAAGATGCTATGAGCGTTAATCGTGACAAGAAGTTTCCGAGTGCCAACAATAGATGGCGTAACATATATTTGGAAAAATGTGTAGGTAGAAGGTAGGTACCTACCTATCCAGATTTATTACTTTTTATATTCATCGTTATTTCACAAAGTAATTTTACAATTACTAGGGGGCAAAGTACAAGACTATTCAGATACGCTAAAATTACTCTAATTATCCGTAATTATGCCGCCCAAACCAGCTTTATACGCGATCGTGCCAAGTTGATGGACCTTTTTAATTTGTTCTATTAAGATCGCAATTAGAAAAATGTTTAGTTTTTTGCTTTGATTTAGTCAGCCAGGTCCTGGTTCTGTCTGTCGGTTATATATATTTTTTTAATAAGCGTTCCTTGGTGTGACCCAGCACAATGTAGCGCTCGGTGAGTTTGGCTCTTTTGTTTAACATGGACTAGTTTTGAATGATATCCAGGGTGTGATTTGTAGCCAGAAGGTGCTGTAAAAAAATTACGAAACCCCGTCGAGTTAAAGCTCTTTTGGTTTGTCTTGACAAGGACTTTGGTTCTAAATGATATCTAGGGTCTGTTAATAGAAACGGAAGGTGGCCAAAAAGGCTGAGTAAGAAAATGACGCAATGCCATCGAGCTGATATCCACAATTTTCATACGTCACGTTTTTACACTTACTAAGTACTTTTAGCCAATCTCAACTATCTTTTCTAATATCCTTCCACGAACTCTTTTCAAATTGTTTTTTTATTATTTTTATTTACAACTGAGTAACAGTCTCATTTAGTATTTGCTTCGTAAAGATTATACTATTTATACTTCACTAAAACTCTAATATATCACGAAATAAAATACAAGCGCATTGTGATCCTCTAGAACTAAAGTTCTCTAATGACTTTCTAGTGATTATAATAATAATGATTAAGAAAAATATGGTTATTACATAATAATGATAATCGATTAGAATTTATTATAATTTGTAATGATCTAAATTACAAGCGCTTTGGTGATCTTCTAGAACGAAATACCTCTAATATCATTAGTGACTATAATACGCATTAAGGAAAATATCGTTATTTTTTTAAATTACATTAAAATGAAAAGAATAGTAAGTATTCATACTGAGTAGCTAAGAAATAGATATCAAGTAAATGAATGTCATTTTAGCTTTGAAGCTATTATAGAACAGACCGCTCTGGTGGGTAATAGCGCGCAAAAATCTAATTTAAATATAGAATTCTACATATATCCCAGCTGACAATGTCGCGCGCGCTTGTCAATGCCGGTTTGTTTTGTTTTAATTAAAAAAAATAAAGTGCATCAACTTTTTAATTTGAATTCTAAAGCGGAGGTTCTATATTTAGTTTTTTTTACTGGCTGAAAGTTAACTATTGTCTGTGGAAATTCGTGAAGTGGTGCGATTTTTTTTTAAATTAGTGCAGTGTTTTTTTTTGTTCAATATTGTGAGAAAAACAGTTTGAAATGGCAAAGACCATGGCCACAGATGATATTTATAAAAAGGAGTACCGCAGGTTACGGAGGCTTACGACCGATTTAGCAGTGCGCCAAGTTTCTGTAGGTTTACATTAGTTTTAAATAATCTTACGTCTTAGTCTATTGAAGGACATTAATTAAATTTTTTTCCTTGCAGTCAGAGTATGGCCTTACGGAAGAACAAGTCGCAGGTAAAGATAAAGTTACTCTTAATAAATAAATAATAGAAAGAATAACTATAACTTATGTAAATACCTAAGCATGTAAATTAGTTACCTATAATCTACGTCAAGGCAAGATTTATACCAGATCTTTTTAAATTAAAAACCTTTTTCACTACTCTTACAGTTCTAGGGACTTATTAATCAAAAAAAATCCTTACGTATAGAAATCCTAAATTTGAATGCTGACATGAAAATATTGTAAAATTAGGCTTTCTGTTAAAGCTACCAACAGCTAAAAGCTTAAGTACGCTGAATAAATGACATATATACTTAAATCATTAATAGTTTATTTTATCACAATGCTTTCGCAGAGTTCAAAGAAGCCTTCATGCTGTTTGACAAAGACGAAGACGGGACCATCACGATGGCGGAGCTTGGTGTTGTGATGCGATCACTGGGACAAAGACCCTCAGGTAACTACATAGCTTTTAAATTAGAGCTTAGTATTTTTTTTATCTTGAAAAGTTGGTAAACGATCATATGGCCCGCTTGATGGTAAGCGGCCATCATAGCTTTAGACTATAGACTCTTGTGATGCAAAAGTATCACTGCCTTGACCCAATCTTCAATTCTCCTGGATCCCTACACCTTGGAGCCCTGTAACCTAACTCACCGACAGAAACAAAACACCATCAGAAGGTAATGTTATTTAACTGTGGTCTTTTGTAAGATGAAGGTTTCTTCTCCATACGGGCTTCAGATTCATGGGGAAAATCTGATATGCCCTAACTTTCTTAAATATACATTTATTTGAATAGGTACCCAGTCAACTTGAATTGGGACGCTTGTTTGAGGGACATTGACATGGTCATTGTCCTTGCACATCTTTACAGCGAATGGTTGTACAAACCTGGCAGTTAATAACTTGACCAAAACTATGGCACAAAACCCTATGCCTGTCTAAACGTTGGCCAATATTGTGGCAAGAGTTTGTGATAGCGTCCAAACGTTGGAAAGTCGTTCAGTTTGCTTCGTTGAAGCCAATATGCGGACGAATTTATTAAATTGGATATTTAGAAGCTAACGACTGCTGTGGTTTATTTATACACAGCATATTCCTATTATAGTAAGTATACTACTAGACACTATTGTTACGATACGTGAATATAAAAACTTTAATTACTTGATCAACCTGGGAGCTGCTGCTGAGCTAGCAAATGTGTGGACGCGTTGGCCCTAACTCCACCACAACACTTTGATCTTTTAATAAAACCGATACCGCACGGATCTTGCGCCAACTTGTGGGCCATTATTCCAATACATACATAATAGCCATAAGTAATGGCCATAAACATTAGTCCTACTGTTGGTCAACATGTAGAGCAGGCATTAAATTGCATTCAAAACCTAGCACCGTTCGGTTATGTGTCCAATGTCTAGGCTAATACTCCAATACAACTCCAATTGCCAATATGTGTTGGCCGCAATGACGGCTCAACGCGTTCAGATACTAAAAATCAGATGAGGTCATGGGTGAGTGCCTTTTTTTTTTTTTTTTTGTCTGGGAAATGCTTTACGCATCCTTCAACCACCGGGGGAGCGAGAAGAAGGTATGTGGGACTCCTCCCTGCTCATTTCAGCCAGCCCTTAGGCCGGGTGAAATGAGCAGGGCCCTACCTAACGCCCTGAACAGGGAACGCCCAGACAATACTACTGCACCGGTCACCCGGCGTACATTCTGAGGACCGATGGGTGAGTGCCTGGAACATAGCACAGGGAGCGGCAAAATTATATCGGTAGACCTAGTTTTTTTTTATATTTTACATGTTTGGAAAGTTTTACTCTTTTTTATGAAGCAGAGAGGACAACATAGAGAAACAGAGATAACTGTAAAGTTGTATTAATATTAACGAACGGGAAAATTTCATGGAAATTGTTAACGCGGTGAATGGGCAGAAAAAATCTCTAAAAATAATGCTGTTTTTTGGATCATACTTATCGATATGAAACCATGGGTATAATGCTAAATAACTAGAATATTTATACACAAAGTCTGCAAAATGACATTGTGTGATAAGATATAAGTACTCTTATTCTTCGAAGTCTATTTTCTAAAATTATGATTTAGAAATTCAGCCAAAAACCCTTTTTACCGACACCATTTTTATGAAAATCTCGTTTTGAGCGTTACCGTTATAATCGAAGGTTACAATCATTTTTATCGCTTTTCTTTAGCGATGAATCTGTTGTATAAAAATTGTCATTACAACGCTTATATATTCCTTTGATTGTAAGACACTTATAAATAAGTTGATCGTTGTTGTTACATTCGATCGCTGTAGTTACATTATCATCATTATTATCGGCTGTGATAACGCAAAATCGCTTATACGCCACTTTGGTCAAAAATGAGTTGTATATATCATTTGAATCCGTTTCTTTTCTGCGTCGATCTGTTTATATTTCGTAAAGATTTGAGTACTTTTTTGGCGCTTAAGCGACTCATTTTTTGAAGATTTTTATTGTTCACAACGCTGAAGCAACATAAATTTTGGTGTTTTAACCAATGGCGCTTACACCCTGCTGTTTGGCGCATGATTTGATGTTTTCTTGACGAAAATATATGGCAGACCGAGTGAGTAAATGCACTATTTAACTTTAAGTAGTAGGATATTTAGAAAATATAATTTTATGAATATGTTTTTATTTTAATGAGGCTACTTCTAGTTTACAATGAGTGTGTTTTTTTTTTTGTGAAAGAAAAACTTTGATCCTCGTTTCTGTAAAGTTACTTAAGTGGCGTTTAAGCGATTTTGCTTTTGCACTGCCGATATCGTATTTTCAAGTTCATTCGTGCGACCGCAAGACGCCTGTGTTATTATAATAGGCGAAGTGTGATTATGTAGATAAGTATTCACATCACTCATTTATATTTGTATTGTTTGATTATATTATTTATATCGTATGAACCGTAGGTAAAAATTTATTACTGTACCCTTATCAAGTCGCTTTTTTCCAAGATAACCATTTTAACTAAAGAGCATGCGCACATTGAGCCACTAAACCATTAGTGGCTTCGATTTTGTCCATCAGGAAATAAAGATCTGGCGTGTCTGGAATCTTAATCTACTATCTATTTAACTCCCCCTATGTCCATAAAATCCCTGAAACAATTTTTAAATAAGATACTTTTCTTAATTTTAGTAAAATGGTTCGGAATTTGCATTAATAATGAGGGACACGAGGGATATTACACGGGTAATTTGGCCCACTATTGTTCAGGAATGCTGCCAAAAAGACTTTTCACTAAAGAATTTGCCAAACTCTATATTTATCTTAAACAATTGTTTCACCAACAATACTTTATTGTATTTGTTTCTTAGGTTTTCACGCACATCACTCGTTAAATAAAACTAGTTTTAACGGGTTAATGCACGAAACTTTATTTATTTATTGACGTTTCGCAGCCTTTTCAGGTCTGCATCGTCAGAATAAAGTTTCGTGCATTAACCAGTTAAAACTAGTTTTATTTAACACTTTATTGTTTCTCTTTTATATCTACCAGCCTTTTATTACCATAATCTTAGAATAATAACACATATAATACCTATTTCTACAATTCCATTGTATTACTAAAAATCCTTATCAAGTTGACATTTAAATCTTAACAAAGTTAAGCAAGATTCAATAAAAGTTAGTAATAACTAAAGTTAAAATGATTTCCATTAAAATAGACAAAATTTATCAAATCAATTTTTAACAATAATATTTCTTAACAAAGAAAATGACAAAAATGTGTTTGATCAACTAGGCCCCGGCGAGATTCGAACTCGCGATCTCCTGTTTACTAGACAGGCGCTTTAACCAACTAAGCCACGGCGCCGACGAGAGCAATGGCCAAATTAGCGTATAGTATCTAAACTCTAAAAAATGTTGGAAATTTTCTTTTTTTTTGTATTAAAGGTTCATAATTTTATTTTATCAATTCCAGTTTGAAACTTGCTTTGTTTCTGTGAAGATTTCACAGTTATCTATATTACAGCCAGTATATCTTAAGGATGTAGGTACCTAATTTTCAAAAATATTTTTTATTATGTGATATAACTAAAAATTTACGGCTTTCGCAATTTTTCCTTTATCTGTACCATAAGACGTTACTTCGTACATAATTTCAAAATTCTAAGTTCACGGAAAATTTTAAGTTTTTGAAAATTTGCGGAAATTTGCTGCATAAACGGCTGTATCTTTAGATTGCTTTGGCTTAGAAGTGTGATTTTTTCATAGCTCCAAGGGACAGTAGACATGATTATTAGATATGAATTTCAGTTTGATACCTCCACGCGTTCCTGAGAAAAACGGTCTTGACAGACGGACGGACGAACAACAAAGTGATCCTATAAGGGTTCCGTTTTTTTCTACCGAGGTAAAGCTTTCTTTTGACCTAAAAATAGTTAATAATGCTTGACAAGGTGGCACGTTGGTTGTCTCCAACGATATTAAGTTGTCTCCTAATTTTTATTTCCAGAGAAAATAATACAATATTGTCATCCTGCATTAAATAAAATTAATTGACTGTTCTCTGACGACTCTACACTTAGCATTGGTAAATTAATTTACACTCTACATTTAGTACGTTTCATATAGTAATCGTATATACACCTAGTCAGGTCATAAATTTGTCACATGTTTAATATAAAATAATTGAAACAAGTTTATTCATTATGTAACCATTTATATACCAAAATGAACTTAACAAAACATAGATTCTTATGACAAATAAAGTTTATTCAAAATGATCTCCGTGATTTTGAATATAGGCCTTCAATCTGCGCGGCCAGTCGTCTATCGCACCACGAACGAGGTCCATATCAATATCGGCGGCTGCCTTAATCAAGGATGTCTTGAGTGACTCCAAATTGGGATGAGGCTTTGAGCACGCCTTTTCTTCCAAGTTTTGCCATATCTTGTAATCTAACGGACTCAAATCTGGACTGGAGGAGGGCCAGTCTTCGTGTCGGATGAAGTCGATTTCACGCGCCGCCAGCCAGTCTTGTGTGCTCTTCGCTCTATGAGCTGGCGCCGAATCTTGTTGGAATACCCAGTGCCTGTTATTGAACATGGTATGAGAAACAGGTTCCACAAGGTTCGTCAGGACTGTATTTTGATACACAACTGCATTCGTTTTTACACCTTTCTCACAAAAATGTACCTCTGTTAAGCCCCAATAAGAAACTCCCAACCATACCATGAGCGAGGATGGAAAATGACCTCGTTGGACCCGCGGAATATGGTTGCTCGCTTCTTCACTACTGTGTGCGTGCAAACAAAATGATAAGGTGTATCATTTTGTTTGTTGCAGCTCTCTTCTACGGTAAAAATTTTTTCATCCGAAAAAAGAATTTCCCGATATATTTTTTTACGCGTACCGTTTCAACAAAGCGGGGCATCTCTTCAGTCTCAGGTCCTTTAGACGAGCATTCAAACGATGTCCTGTTTTTCTTCGATATGCCCGAAGCCCTAAGTGTTCATTTAACACCCTTTTCATCGTGGTTCTGCCTAACCATCTGAAGGGCCAAAAGTTTCTGCTTACGTGTGGGATTTCTTTGAATTCGCGCCTTCACAGCTTTTATCACTGCTGGAGTCCCTAACAGACCGAGGGCGACCACTTCTTGACCTGTCATCTACACTAGAGTCTTCATTGTATCGTTTGATGGTACGATAAACGAATCTTTTGGTTATATTCAAATTTTTCAGTATGTCAAAAATTTGAATTGGTGCGTAAAATTCTAAAAAAAATGAGTCAAATTCTAAAAAGTATACACTTTTATTTTTATAAACAATTCGAAATTCGAATTCAATAAACTTTTTTGTGGCCAGCATTTTAAAAGAAAAGTTTTTACAGTGTGTTATATATATATATATATATGCATGGACATAGTGTTTCTTGTACTGTAATGGTTCATTTCATAACAATACGTAGTTTTTGAGATAAGTGCTTTCAACCAATCAGACAGTCTTTAGCTCTCTAATATTAAGTATAGATTCATGCCTTACTTTACCAGTTACATATTTTATTTTCACTCCCATTAATGATTATATCACCTCATCATTATTCATGAATATAAAACAATCGCCTTTCAGTGTTTTTAATATATTGTAATAGCGTTACGGTAATAATTAGATATAATTAACCATATCATATTTCGCACGTCAGTCAGAGAAAAAAATACTTATGTTGTTTCATAATATAAATAGAGCACCGGTTATTATTTTACCAAAAATATTTTAGACTTGGCTGTCTCTTATTGTTTCTTAAAAGATTATCTCGAAAAAATATTAAGGGTGTTAAAGTAACTTAAGTACCTACTTATACTTCTAATAAAGTGCCATTCTGTGAAAAAACAAGAAAGATTGTGTATTTAGAGACAGTAGCTAGGTAAGTAAAAATAGATACTATGTATAATAATATACTATAAAAAAGTCCAGATAACATGATTGACGTGATTTAAAATGTATCTTAGCTAATGATGATATTAATGCTCCAAGCAATAATAATCTTTAAAAAATGGCCGTGTCTACTTAATAAATTAGATGGCTGAAATTATTATTTAAAATATATTTCAATTATATTGCATTATTAAATTAAATAATGAGTATGTATTTATTGGCAATTTTGAGTACTCGTAGGGGAGCGGAGGGCACGTTGATATAATTTTCGGATAGTTGTTAATATGAAAAAAGCTATCAAATAAATTATACATTCGATTACTTGTAATGTTAGTATGTCTATTTAGCTATTAAAATATGACTGAAAAATTATTAAACTTTATGTAATTTTTTCACAATGGAGAATTTAACTAAACAAGTAGATTGTAACATCTTACCCCGGAATTGGGGCTAGTTGTTACATCATCGGGGCACGATGTTACTGTTGATAAATAAACAAAATCATCAGTGATACATATTTTTTATTAGTATTTCAAAACGATATATATATATACAATAGAGATCACTTTATACAGTCTTCTAACATTTATGAGTAATTATAATATCTATTATGGTAATTATCTAAGTTTTTTTTTTGTAGAAAATCACTTTAGCAGGAACATTCTTAAATCTTATATAAAAATATATAGGTATATATATTATGAACGTTCAAGGATAAAATTTTGACAAAATAAAAAATATAGTCATCAGGAATCAAAAATTTCGTAAAGGATTTCTTTACTTACTTGGTTGAAAACGGGACCCACGCACACAACCTAGCAGCTCAGCGCTTGGCGGGTCACTGATTGTTTTTATCTAATGCACGATGTTATAAGAAAACAAATAAGTCCAATTATGTCCATAAAAGAGTCTAAAATCCCGGTAAAAAACGCGTGTAACTTCTTACCCCTGTAACAACGTGCCCCCCGCTCCCCTACTCGACGGGTGATAAATTTTCTTCACAGAAAAATAAAATAAACAAACATTAAATAGTATAAAAATAGAATACAATAGGTTTTATGATTAGCCAGTTACAATAATAACTACTTCATATCAATGAAAAGAGCTCTCGTTCTCCGCAATAAAGCCAAATTGAATTGCGAATTACTTACTTAGATCTAAACACAGCCTGAATTATTTATTATGATATCGGCTCCCTGGTTACCTGCTTGAATGTGCTATGAATACCTACGGCTCAGAGGGACCAGAAAAGAGGTTTATTCATAAATTAATCATATATTCTATGAGTATTCTGTCAGAATTTTCCTATCTAAGTAAAAATAGACTTGCTATAACATTTGTGTATTTGATTTGAGTAAGTTGTGACTAAAGTACGTCATAAAAGAAAATAAGGTTAATAATCCTTATATAACAAAAGGCAACTCAAAACTCATAAGCCAAGGTGCAGTAAGAGTTCTTGCAGCATTCTGCCATAACAAAACTAATTACGAAGAGATGGCGCTGCCTTGCAACCTCTTTTTTTATGTCTGGAAAATGCCTTACGCATCCTTCAACCACTGGGGACTGGGGGAGCGAGAAGAAGGTATGTGGGACTCCTCCCTGTCCCTTTCAGCCAGCCCTGGAGCTCGCTGATGTGAACAGGGCCCTACCTCCGCCCTGAACAGGGCCACTGAGCAACTAAAACCAAACGAAACTCAGAAATTTCGTCTGGTTTTTAGTGTGACGGTGACGGTGCAGGCACCGTCACCCGACACGCACTATTAGGACCGCGGTCCCCCTAGTGCGTGCCGAGAGGGCGACTGTGGTCGCGGAACCCGTCTCCGAATGGCCGCGCACCCGCCAGGTACTGCCTTGCAGCCTAAGAAATACTTGAGAGAATTGAGCACTGCCATTAGAGTTGCGGTAGCATAATGGTCAGTGCATTTGCCCGGATAGCGAAGGGCGCGTGTTGGAGGCCTGTTTGCTCTTTGAGTAGTCTCTGCTGCCTGTTCTGCGTGGATTTTTTCTAGTAAATTTTTCTTTAGATTTAAATATCTAACAGCTAAATGCTTAAAAAAATAAAATAAAGCTATAGCAGCAGCAGCAGCTATAGTAGTTATCGTTACCGGAATTAAACCATTATATAGAACAAGATTCTGATTCTACATATAATTAATTCATTTCTTAAAAAAAAACCCTTACTGCTCTACACTTCTTAACTAGGACGGCAATATACCTATCTTTTTTACCTATACCTACTTAGTAGGCAGATCTTACGTGCTTATTCTTTGAACTTCAACAAAAGACGTTTCAATTTCGTTTTCATGAATTATTTACTTACGAGTCGGCAGTAACGCGAAGCCATAACACAACAGGCATACTTATACGATGATGTAGAAAAGCTGGTAATTATTTATTTATGATTTCACTTGGGATCTGTTCGATTATAATTAGAAATTTAGTGAGTGAGCGACGGAGAGCAATGGACTCAAAATAAAATAGAAATTACTCAACATAATCTAGAGAGAAAAGAGCTAGAAAAGTTTTCTTAAGATTTACAAATCATCATATAGGTATTTTGGTCCATGATATTGTTGACAACATCACTGGCAAAAAAAAATTCACTGGTCAGCTAAATATCCCTCGGGTGGAAGTAGAGGAGTCAAACATGTGTCTGAAATTGAGTCGTTACTAGATGAAGTCTCTAATTGAGGCTGACAAAATGTTGTCCGATCTAACCGCGAAGAAATCCCCATTCGTAGCAGTACTTACCTTGTTTCCAAGACAATCCCCTGAACATCTCTAAAAACATCGGAATTGTAGGAATCGAATGAAGGGCAATTCTGAGATCATTTGGAAGGAAAGACCAAACTAGCTTGCAAAAAGCTTGGGGTGCTCAAAGGTTCCAAAGATACTGGCAGTGTTCCCCCTTTCATTAGCTAGACTAATTCTTTGTCCGAGGTAGCTGCCAGCTCTACGGTCTCCTGTGATGTCGACCAACCTTTTTGCTATTTCCTTAAAAAGCCTTACAGCGCTAGGACCCCACGGACCAAGGGTTTCTACACCGAATAGGACAAAATCATATTCGGAGCCTAGACCCCTGTATTTGCATGCCTTAGCTTTTTCAGCCGCTTCGCAAGCCGATAATTAATTAAATAATTAATAATTGTAAGTATAATTTGAAAAATTGTGACTGTCACTTGAAGATCGGTAATAAGCTTGCAGTAGTCTAGCATAAAGGTAAAGTACCTAACTACTCAATTTAAATACAACGGTAGGCATGTACTGTTTTCTCCTGTTTGTGTGTGAATACTTAAGCCGCGTAAAATAAAGAGACTACGATGTGACAGGTTTGAGTTATTTGCAGTTGTAGCTTAGGTTATCTTGCCTAAGAAATTGTTTGGGGACCTTCTTTCACGTACGGTGTACGTAACGTGAAGAATGTAATGCAATATAAGAAAATAAATTTTACGAAACAAGTAGTTACTTTCTTCCTTTTAATGCCACACGAAATTTCAGACAACAGTATATTTATTATAGTTAACACAGATCAGATTGTAGGTAAGTCCATGTCCCATTCTAAGTCTAAAAACAATTTCCCATTCTAAGTCTAAAAATTTTCCGTTACGTTACCAACATAGAAAGATGTCTGTTACAGTACTTAATTTAGGGATATTCCCTAGAGTCCTCGGTAAAGTTAGACGTCTATCTTATTTTGTTTACAAGAACTAGTTAAGTAACAAACATATTATTTTTATTTGTAGATATTTGGTTTAGCCATTATCATGACATTGTGGGATCAAGAAAGGGTGATAAAAGCACACTCAAATTTAAAAGATAATATACATCAACGCAGACCTCGATACATAATAAATATGACCGCTTTTTTCAGAGACTGAATTACGAGACATGGTGAAAGAGGTGGATCAGGACGGCAACGGCACCATCGAGTTCAATGAATTCCTCCAAATGATGTCCAAGAAGATGCGAGGGGCTGATGGAGAGGACGAACTTAGAGAGGCTTTCAGGTAAACAATGGAACTAATTCAGCCTATTCAATTAATCAGATGCCGACTCTATCTATAGAACCAAAAGGATATACTGAGACACTGTTTTAATTTTCATTTTAGAAAATCAAGCTAGAATATTGGGGGGAATTGTATAATCAAAAATCCCGACTCGAATCAATAGTGAAGCGCATTATTTATCACTAACTCCTTACATAATGTTAATCTATTATATTTGAGAAGTGGACTGCGCCTGTATTTGGACGGAATAATGGCAACACAGCCCCTTGTTTCGTTTTTCCCCGGCCACAGATAGTGATTCACTTCTCGTTTTCGTGAATCTAGTAAGGGAACTAAGAAAACGAGCGAAAAGTCCGTATTCTTGTCACTTAAAATTTGTATTTACACTCACTCGTTTTAATACCACCCATACAGTAATATAGTACCTACTTACATATAGTACTTATTGTCTTCTAGGGAGATTAAAACCACACATTTTGCTGACCGGGCTTATATCATTTGTACCTAGAAAAAAAATGGTGTGATTTTGGAAAAGCAAGCGAAATTTTTAAAATCTTGTAGCAGCAAGATCTGATTTTATTTAATCATATTTTTTTTTAATGCGATGTGCTAAAGATAGAAAGAAAAAAATATGGCGATGTAATAAGACGAAACTTTAATATTAATTAAGATTTAAAAATATAGCACTTAAGAATTTACCTACTTGGCTAATTACGTAAATGTTAATTACTCTTACTCTAGTAAGGATTACCGAACATTCAGAAAGCCGTTACGTGTAAGAGTGTAAGAAATATTTATACCTTCTTAGGTAATTGATTGAAATGCCACGCTGTTTTTCCAGGGTATTCGACAAGAACAACGACGGGCTGATATCGTCGGTGGAACTGCGCCACGTAATGACCAACCTGGGGGAACGGCTCAGCGAGGAGGAGGTGGACGACATGATCCGCGAGGCCGACCTCGACGGTGACGGCATGGTCAACTACGATGGTGAGCATCACGGGGCGAATACAAGGAGATGTTGTTTTACGGTTTACTGATGGATTAGATAAAGAACAAGCCCAGCGCGCCTTTTGCGCCGCGACCCACTACATATACGCGGCGGTCTCGAGACTCCGCGCTCTCTAAAGCCTCGCGCAGCGAATCCACCCACGCGTAATCTGCATCGGCGCCAACTTCGACCACGTCGTATTCTTTGGGTAGTTCGACCACGCGTCGCAGCTGCACGTACTCACAGGGGGTTGATGTCACGAAGTCACTCATCGTGAAGAGCTCTATGGCGCAGGTGGTGAGCGCTTTCGCAGTGGTCGGTCATTGGATGTGTGACAAAAAATCTTCTATCTCGAGTTTGTCCGTGCTTCGGAAGGCACGTTAAGCTTTTGGCCCCGGCTGCATCTGAAATCGTTAGCACTCGCCAATCCGCACTGGGCTCGCGTGGTGGGTCATGGCCCAATCTTCCTATTCCAACCATAGGGAGGGCCTGTGCCTCAGCAGTGGGGACATTAATAGGCTGATGATGTCACGGAGCAAGCAATTGCAAAACGAGGTGTTGCAGGATAGAGGTTTTCTCACGGAGCAAATTCAGAGAGCGAAGGTTGTAGATATAGGTGTTTGTTTGCGAAATAAAATTCAAAAAGGAAATGTTTGCTCATGGAACAATTACAAAGTGATATTGTATTCGGGTTTGAATCACGCAGCATAAGATGTTGTTCGAGCTTTAGGTAATCCGAAACAAATACAAAGAGGTACTACAGTATTCAATGTAACAAAGCTTCTACCAATGTTGCACTGATGTCACTCGTTAGTAGTTCTAGCTGCTCAGCACCAGAGGCACTCTATCAGTTTTATGATATACTCGCTCTTGCGAGTGCCTACTACTTGATTTATTTGAAAAAAAGGCGAACATTTTCATCAGCCTATTATTGCCCCAAATGCTGGTGTACAAATGTTGCTATGTATGAAATAGTGGGCAATGATCCAAGGGTGGATCCAGCTTTGGCGCCAGGGGGGGTCATATAGTCGTGGTCAAGTTACAACAGGTACAGATTGTGAAGTGAGTACACATGGACCCAGCCCAGGGGGTGGTCATGACCCCCATGACCCCCCCCTCTGGATCCGCCCTTGCAATGATCCACCAGGCGAGCTCAGTGATGATTGGTAAGTGCTAACGATTGCTTATACGGCCGGAACTAACGGCTTAACAGGGTAAGGATTAATATATACCACATTCCCGATAATACCCACGCTTTCAGTTTGTCGTCTCTTAAACAATTGACATAAAGTTCAATATGCTTTGCAAAGTTTCGTTGAAACAATTGCTTCCATTCCATTCCGCGGCGGTATATATTGAGCCTTAAACAGGTAAAGGATACGCTTTCATCAACTAAGAGGTGTTTAGTTTTTCAAGTTCTTTATAGAAAATAAACCTAGCCAAGTACAGACAGCGACAGCAGCACATTTACACACATAGTTATCCCACACTATTAAACTTTTTCAATAGGTTGTGAATCTTTAACCAAGACATATAAAGTTCAAAGTCAGTTGAAGAAATTTAACAGTTTTGGGTAATCTTGTCCTGTGAATATCTTTATTAGATAAGAATGTAAAATGAAAAAAAAATCTAATCCCAACCTTTTCTCTTTTCAGAGTTCGTGACAATATTGACTTCGAAAAACTAGTATGCAGAGCAAATCCCCAAGAGAGATCCCCCCCCACCACGCCAGTGTCCTTACGAGGAATTGTCCAAGTTTGGAGGGAAAGAAACTCTTATATAGTTCCCAATAAGTGTTAGAAGCTAAACGTGATCCTTGAGACAGTCGTCGAATATGTTCATAGCGCGCTTGCCGGCAGTGTATACGTACATCGATGTTTAGAAAGTGGTTTCCTTTCAGCAATGAGGGTTTTTGTGAAAGTTCCGCGTCTTATCCCCACATATGTGTAAATGGCAGATTTCTGCCAACGTCAAAAAACCCCTGTATGTGGAAATGGCAGATTTCCGCCACGAGTTGAGAACATTATTTTCATATTTTGCGTTTTATCATATTTAGTAATGGCTTTTTAATTTACACATCTAACATAGATAAGTTTGTAGAGAAACTATCCAGGATTGGTTTAAGACAAGGATGTACAGTAGTACTGGAATAATAAGAGAAAAATCGTCCGGAAAATAAAAAAAATCCAGGCCGTGAAAAACAAAATAGAGGGCTAGCACAGACAGGGTTTTTGAGCGTCATATTGCTTACACATTTGAGGGGCTAAAGAACGAAGTTTTGGGCGCAAATTCATCAAGCAATTATTAAAATTACTTCATAGACAATGACAACATAAACAATATGACGGATGAATTGTCCTTCCGGCTCAGTGCTGCCATCTGGCGCCCACTAATTCAGAAAACCCTCATTTGAATATTCCACCAAAACCATTTTGGTGAAACATTCGAATTACCGTAGATGTCTTTTAATTCTTTAGATGTGCGAGGAATTGGTGGTCTACTGCTACTTTAAAGGCTATAATCGCTTGCGCTCGGTTTTTATAATAGAAAGAGATTAAGACGATGAAGAATTACCATCTTAGTGGAATACCTACAGCGTTGCCAGACGATTTTGGCGGGACATCCCAATTTTTAAAACAAAATTAAATGTCCCGCGCGGGACAGGCTCAATCCCGCTTTTCGGGAATAGCTCGACTGTGCGTGCAGCGTACTGAGAAAGCGCGGGCGGGTAGCACAGACAAGTGTGGACTGGCCACCTGCCCAGCTCGTAATGAAGAACTCTCAAACAAAGACTCAACTATTTAACGATAGGGAAAATTTGATTTAAAATATCATACTTTTATTAAAATTCATTTTCTATGGATATTTTACAAGGTAAGTACGTATCTATTGGATCGTACGTATACGTAATTTGAACTCAAATAAAAAGATAAATATATAAAAACTTTTGATTATTTACCTTTTTTTACTATGTCCCGCTTTTGACAAAAGAATCTCGTTTTTTTCACTCAAAAAGTTCCTAAATCCCGACTTGGCAAAAATAAAACTGGCAACGCTGAATACCTACCTCAGGCGATTCTGCACCTTATAGCTCCAAACCACTAATTTCTTCCATATCTGCATACCGATCAACTTACCGAGCTACTATTAAAATCATCTAGTGTTCTTTGAAGGAACGATGTTCTATAAGCGAGCACCGTCTTTAAATACTTAGTAGAAAGCACAGCACAGCACGTGGCATACGCAAACAAACTACTTACGTAATTCCTCAAACGGCCGCACTCAGAGAAATCAATTAACTTTTATGTTTGAGTAAAGTTGATGTTGTCACTTTCTTTGTGATAACAATAGCATGACGCAAGACCTGACTTAATGAAGCATTAAATTAATTTGACGTTTCTGAGTACGGCTGTATATGCTTGAACACATTTCGTACCTCGTCTTTTGACGTGATATCACATTTTCAGAACGTCTTTTGCCATTCCCTTGTACCTACCTTTATTCATTGTGTAGAATAAAGAATCAGTGACGGAAAAATGACCCATATTCATGTAGCAATTGGGTGCATTATCCTAAGCACCTATTCAACGAACATTTATTTTGTCAAAAGGCGATGTCACTGTACGTTGTGATTCTAATTCTATAGTGTCCCCTTTAATTGTGTAGACTTTTTATTATACTTTGCCACGGAAAGCAGGGTGACCGGCCATCTTTCCCTGTACAATTAAGACCACGACGGTAAATACATTTATACGTATAAGTAGGTAACTATTTGCAAGACAAGTGTATTCACCTTCGCAGTTTCGACTGTACTCACTATTATTATACGCAGAAATTATAACGTGCATACGATTAATAATTGTAGTGTATAATTGGGCCAAACTTTACAAACCTGAGCTTAATTTGTGCGTATAATAAGCAATATCTTGTTTTAATTGCATTTTAATACTATGATAACGTATCTAAATGTAACTTAGATACTTATAATTAGTTAAGAAATCCTACTTATTGCATAACCATAACCAAATTACTTTACTTAAAAAAATAATGGACGGTACCTATGGTAAAATTTTAGTCAAATCAGATGAATTGATTTTAAAATAAATATTTAAGTTTTAACATAAATACTATTTACAAATGAAAATATTTTAAATATAACTGTATATGTACTTACTAATCATGAACTAATTTCGACTTGGTGGAAATTTTCAAAATTAATTGTTAAAACAAAAATTTGGTTGTGCATAAAAATATTGTAACAAATAGGTAAAAACAGTAAATAAAATATCGTATATTATTACCCGCATTAAATATTAATAGAAAAATAGGTTTTCCGTACGTATACACGTTGTATGAATTATGAATAGATATAGAAGTGTGTGTCTTTGAAATATTTGTTAAGTTCAGTTTTCGTTGGTCTTCCATAATGTGAAGGTTGACTGAAAAATATAGAGCCAAAATTAAACAGTTCATTAATGTTACGAGGAAACGAAAATCTTATTGTAATGATACTAATTACTTATAGAAAGAAAAAAAAACTAGTCGTATATTAAGGTTTATTTACTCGGTTTCAAAGAGTTTTTAAATTTACATTGAATAGTCACATGAAAGGGTACTTTTTATCATGACATGAGATAGTGAAATTTCTACATTTGCTAAGCTATCGAAGACTACTTAGGAGGTTATAAAGAAAAAAAATCCTAAGATTTTAAAATCGTAAGTAGATTTTTTGTATTCGTCACCCAAAAATGTCCTTCATACTAAGTAAATAAGTGTTAATTTAGGGAAATTTTCGCGAAAGAATTGTCTAAGTCAAGATAAGAGGGCTTGTTAGATAGATTTAAAATTGTTTAACTCGTTATCTAAAATATGTAACAGAGCAACAAGACATTAATATAAATCGTACCGTAAGTCGTATAATAATAATTCATGTGCATATTTATTTTGACTTCGTTAAAATTTTGATGTCGTATTTAAAAATGCAACAAAACATGTCTTGAGCTTGTTTCAGTTAAAACTAAATGATAATAAAATTTGCTGTAATGTTGCTATAAAGTTTAATTAACCGATAAGATATTATTTGAAGTTATGGGGCTTCCTTACGATAAATTCTAATCAAAGTTACTTTTAATGGAGTGAAAAAGCTGTTTTAAATTATTAATCATCTTATACAAAAAAATATGGACAATAACAGAACATATATTTACTTATTATTACAAGAATATTCAATTAAAAAGTATAACTCAGTGATAATTATATACATTTAAAAGAGATCGTTTAAATATTTCTACTGTGATTTTTGACATCACAACATATCACAAGCAATAAAATACAATTATTTATTCATTATTGCAAATTCTATTTTAACGATACAATATTATTATTTTATTAATACGTCCAAAAGTAATTACTGGATTACAAAATTGACGCTAATTATTTTAAGATAAACAATTATATATTATTATACATTCATATAGATCATCCTTTAACAAATCATCATTCGAAACAATTATATATATATAATTATAGTATAGTTATTGTAAACATAATTAACACCTATATAAATATAAAAAATGTAGGTGAATGGTCTGAATAAATATTTTATTTCTATTATTAAGGAAGGACAACGGCTAAATATTGTGCAATATTGTCTTTAATTGTATTTAGTTTTTTACCACAACTGTATAAAGTTAGCTGATTTGAGAATGTAAAATAAAGTTTTGGTGATTGAGACTACGTGTACAATAGAATGAAAACCAGAACATATTATAACTGGATCATTATTTTCTAACAGGAAGATATTTACTTACAATGGTATCCGTTATTATAAAAGTGACGCCAGGACAGGACAAAATACTATTGGATCAAACAAATTCTCTTCCTACGTGCATTGCACTGCACTATTTTTGCACAACATATTATATTCTTTAAATTGTGCGTCAGTTTCAAATACTTATATTATTCCAAAGCTAACTGCTCCGCGTCTCAACGTAGACTGAACACTTCTCTTACAAAAATGTTATGTAAACATTACAAAATATTTTGTTTCGCAACTGTACTCATGACCGAAAGTTGAGTCAGAGAAATATAAAAGAATAAATAACCTGATAAAAGTCACATAATAATAAGTTCAACAATGTTAAATGTAATAAAGTCAAGTTATATGTATGTATATGCAAGTTAGGTATTTGATGTAACTAGTTGAATATACAAGCTTGGCATGAAACAAGGAGATTTTAATAAAATTGATATGTGAAAAATTGAATTTTCATTTACATCCCTTTGTTGGCTAGCGGACACTTTAGGAACCTTGCGCACTAGACGACCACGACCGCGACCAGTGGCCGCAACGGACAGATTAACTGTAGTTTATCTGGTCGTCGAACAGTAGCTGGCCGTTGCGGCAAAGTGGGCGATGGCGTTCGTATGATATCTTTAATTAATCTGGTCGATGCGTCCACTAGCCGTGGTTTAGGTCGTCCGTTGCACGAGGTGCCTTATTCGTAATAATGGAGCAATTGCATTTGGTCGTTAGCTCGTATTCGGATGCGCGAAAGACTATACTCGAGTTCGGGCATTTGAAGCAATATTTACACTGGAATACGGGCTGGAAGACGGTGTCGGGTAAACAAATGGAAATCTACCCGAACATACGGCGTACTCGACTCAGTTCATTTACACTTAGTCGTTTACCTGAATTACCTGAATACCGGAATTCGACGACGACGAGTTTCGTTTTAGACGACGAGTATTCGGGCTAACGACTAAGTGTAATCGCGCCATAAGAGGGATACCATTAACTCTAGCCCCCTTATGAATAATAATAATAATAATCATTTATTTTTCCAAAAAAGGGTAATAAACGAAGAATAAGCTTGGATTAGTCACTCTTATGTTTTATCTCTGCTAATTGAATAGGATATTTGACAGTATTAAAAATAAAGTGCCAATTGTTAGCATCTGTATTTAGAATTAATATTGGCAGGAGTTTTTAACTATTTTTACAAAAAAAATATTCTTAATTTTACTAAAAACCCACGATAAAGATAATAGTTTTCTTGTCTATTGTCACGTGACCCAAAACGCTTGGGATTGGTGGAGCCTAAAATGACGTCACACGCAAGTAAACTTCCGGTTAAAGCGACATTTGATTGTATTGACGTTTTAATAACAGTCGTGTGACGTCACACACCAGTGCGACGCCATATTGTCCAGAGATACGTTTTTCGCGGCAACTTGAACAGTTTTTGATTTGGTTTTTTTACCGAAATACACAAAATAATGATGAATATCCTTTTTGTGAACTCTTTAAACATTAGTAAATAACGTGAGATCGTTTTCTAAAGGACAATGGGCAAAACGCACCCAGCTCCGCCAACAATGTAATTAGTATGAATCGATAGATCTATGAAAAACTAGGCCTTTTTAGTATGACACCGAAAATAAATATCCTGGGAGTCAAAAGATATGACACCGTTAAAAATATCCTGGTAGTCAATAGATATGACACATGGGCATATTTCAGTAGCTGAATAAATTCATTTTATATTAGTACCTTCGTTTTATATTATTAGTAATCATAATGAGATGCCATATCGTACTATACAACCAGATATACGACAAAGCCTGCCGACCATCCTGCGCTTGCTCTTAATGAGAAATTTCAAAACGGTTTACGGATGATGAAGGACTTGCAGTTGCAAATAGTCGACTCGTCTTACTTTGTTGTAATTGTGCGGTCCCTGCTACTGGATTGATTTTTATCTAACACGCTTTGGATATTGGAACACGATTATCAGTTTTGTCAATTAGTATGGATGAACTGAAATCATGTCTTCTCCCAAACGTGAACAAGTTTGTGTAATCTGTGGTCGCTCCGTTTTACATAGAAGACAATTTACTATAACGAACAGAATGTTTAAAAAAAACCCACCCCTGCGGGGAGTTTTGGATTTACTCTAGCGCGGCAGAATAACATAAGGGAACCCAAAACCATAACCCTTGCACCTTGTGCAGTACTCCCATAATTCCTGAGCACACTATGTAGGATCGAACTAACTAAATTAATTACATTGTTTCATTAATGTTCGTTCGGTATAGTACTTGTACATATTTAACTTAAAAAAACTAAAGACCCCCGGGATGGAATTTGATGCGCTTTGGCACATATGATCTTGACTATAATACCTTTTAAACAAATGTAGTTTAAGCCGTGGCAGACGTGGGTGCAGCGTCCATACATTTTTGCCCAAGGTCCTTTGTCAAATACCTTATTATAAATGGCATTTGAGTGATATATACAAAACACGGAGTAACTTGTCTAAGCTTATGCCTCGTTTTTTAATAAGAGGGTGGGAGTTGAAATAAATAACACAAATATCTGAGTAATTTGAATATATTTCTAGGATATTTCACGGACACCTTACCTACTACAGCGACTTAATTTATTGAGATTTTCTTTTTTATAATAACTTACAACGATATTAAAGCTTAAAATTAATTCGACTAAAAAATATAAAGATAATATTAGAATTAATAGCAAGCCTTTATTAAAAGAAAAAAATGGTTGGGAAAAGATAATCAAAGTATGACTAAAGGTACCTTTTGACACGCCACAGTTTAATGTCATAATTTTTTGAATAGAACAATATTTATATACTTAAAATTACTTCAGACTATTTACACAGGAACAGGAATCGAAAAGATTCTCAGTACATTCAATTATTACAAAAGTTCAAATGTGCTCAATTTATTTTTATCACAATAACACAAAAATATCAATCCGGCGTTTTCACAGGTCAAAATTTTATTATAATAATTAAAAGCGTCTAATTAGTAAAAATTTTTATGAGTAAGGAATAAATCGTCATACATTTAATAATTGAAGTATATACATTACACGGTCAGGTCATATATATTGTCACACAGTAAAAACTTTTCTTTTAGAATGCTGGCCACAAAAAAGTTTATTGAATTCGAATTTCGAATTGTTCATGAAAATAAAAATGTAAACTTTTTAGAATTTTACTCATTTTTAAAGATGGAGTGGACGCTTAAAGAATACCGTAAAGAAGAAGACCGACACACACATAAATGCAATTTACATAACAAACTAATGTTATTGATTGTGGTCCAAATTATATAGAAGATGAGTTGTAAACTTAAGCATTCTTACTACAAACAAATTAGACACTGTTCTAAACCATGTTTATCATAGGCAAATTTTGTAACACATTTTTTCTTAAACTCGTGTTGATCACATGATTTACTTTTATGTGGTATTAAGGTAAGGTTCTAACTTTATAATAAAATATATTTTTTCAGTATTTTTTTTTTACACGACTGCCAAAAAAGGAGTGTAATGTCTTCAAGGTTAATGTAATGACAAGGTAACGCACATACAAACAATATATGGAATCCTTATTCCACCATAACTTATAAATGTGGTAACTGTGGTAAATATAGTGGATGATGCAATTAGTAAATTATAATGTAACAAGATTGTTTCATTGTTTGTTTACCCTAATAAAGTGATAAAAAAAATGCCGAACACATCAGGAATGTATAGAAAGGATTAATTAGAAAATTTCAAGCCGGTGCTAAGGCAACATTTTAAAAAGTGAAATAATAATGTTCTACTCAATCAGTCCAATATGGATACCAATTGGACTGCCCTGATAAGCACATTTTCGCGCGATTCAACTAAGAATAGGACCGACTGGGAGCCATATTTATTTTCTTTATTCCGAATTTTCGAATTGATGAATATCAACAACAAATTTTATGGGTGCTTAACCTTTTGTTGTTGGCTGAATAGCAATTACTCTTTGGCTTCCACTTATTATAAAATAAAACGACACGCGTCGTAAAGTGTTTTTGATATCGTTAGTTCAAAAAATTTAAAGGTTTGTAATGGTATAGATATCATTACTGAGGTTCGATACAGAACTTTCAATTGAATCAGAACTTTAGATCTATGAAATGCAAAGACGCACAGTTTTCACAGACTATAATATTTCAATAAAAGACGGCTCTGCTATTGTTCTTGGATAATTATAATATATCTATTCTGTGATCCATAGTGGTTTCAGACTGGTTAGGAAGAGTAGGACACAGGCATCTCATCTGTTTAAAAAAAAACTATATTTAATTTTGGTACTCACAATAATTTAAATTTCAATCGACTTCATCCTCTTCTGCGTCCATAGGTTCAATTTTGACGCTGACAAAATCGGTGGGTTCCAACTCCAGTGTCATGTCAGTCATATCTTCACCTCTGTCTTCGTCAGACTCGTCACCTTTGACCTCACCGTCATCAGTTTCATCGCCTTCATCACCTAAAGGTTCACCTTCACCTTCTGCCGTTTCGTTATTTTTAGCATTTTCTGCGAGTTTCTTCAAAGTAACGAAGTTTGCTAGTAATACATCGTTAGATTTTCGCTTAGGCGGGCCGAATATGTCGTTCATTACGTCATCGTCGAGACCCAAGTTGCACTCTCTTGGATCTAAGGTTTGGAAGAAGTCTTTTAACACCGCATCCACGCCCTTCAAGTAGTGACGTCTGCGCAAGTGTTTTACTAAAGTCCGTTTTACGGCGTACGATTTCGGACAGAGTTTGCACTGTGGAGCGAACAGAAAATTATTTTAACTAGATTTTTTTTAAGAAACAATGAGTACATAATGTGGTGAAATTTAACGAGAGACAAAAACAGTGATAGATCTAACGGAAGTTGTCTAGAGTCATGTTTCCGGATTCTAAACAAAACGTAACATCGTTTTAAACTTTAAGATGGTGCTGGCATGATCGAATAGGTCGATTAAAGCTCCTCAACAAATAAATGTTGTTTTAAATTTATTTCTAATTTTAACAAATTAAAACCTATAAAGATTGATGTCTAATTATTTTAAAGCTTTTTGATAATACTCAAAAGTATTAGATTTTGAAATGTGATGTCACGAAACTCTCTCACTCATAATGTCACACTTCGTGGAAACTTGTGACATACTTTATGGATGAACCCCTAACGTTAGAACTCTCAACCGGAACATGTTGAGACCGATGTTAGACACTTGCGGCACAAAGGGCATCTATAGCGGGCGTAGGTGCCGCATCATGTAACGCTCGTTTTGGTACTCGAGCCCTGTGGTTACAACACTCACCTGGAACATGTTGAGACCAATCTTGGACACTTGCGGGACAAAGGGCAGCTATAGCGGGCGTAGGTGCCGCATCATATAACGCTCTTCTTGATACTCGCGCCCTGTGGTTACAACACACCCGGAACATGTTGAAACCGATGTTAGACATTTGCGGCACAAAGGGCATATATAGCGGGCGTAGGTGCCGCATCATGTAGCGCTCTTCTTGGAACTCGCGCCCTGTGGTTACAACACTCACCCAGAACATGTTGAGGCCGATGTTAGACACTTACGGCACAAAGGCAGCTATAGCGGGCATAGGCGCCGCATCATGTAGCGCTCTTCTTGGTACTCGTGCCCTGTGGTTACAACACTCTCCCGAAACATGTTGAGGCCGATGTTAAGACACTTGCGGCACAAAGGGCAGCTATGGCGGGCGTAGGTGCCGCGTCATGTAGCGATATTTTTGGTACTCGCGCCCTGTGGTTTAATACTCACCCGGAACATGTTGAGGTCGCTGTGCGTCATCACATGGTGCCGCAGTCCCGCGGCAGATGTTAGTGTCTTGCGGCACAAAGGGCAGCTGTACCGCATCATGTAGCGCTCGTCTTGGTACTTGCGCCCTGTGGTTAGAACACTCACCCGGAACATGTTGAGGTCGCTATGCGTTATCACATGGTGCCGCAGCCCCGCGGCAGATGTTAGTGTCTTGCGGCACAAAGGGCAGCTGTACCGCGCGCCAGTATGAACGGTTCGTAAGTGCCGCATCATGTAGCGCTCGTCTTGGTACTTGCGCCCTGTGGTTACAAGGAGGTTCAACTGTATTGATTGCTCATTATTTCAAATAGATAATGCATAACAGGCTATTTGACATTATGAAAAATAAAGTACCAATTATTGCCAAGTGTATTTAAATAAAACTAGTTTTAACGGGTTAATGTACGAACTTTATTTATTTATTGACGTTTCGCAGGATTTTCAGGTCCGCACCGTCAGAATAATGATCCCTATTGAGGACCTTATTGATTTGCAATTTTTTTTAGAAAATAATCTTATGATAGGTCGTAAATCAAATAATATATAATAGTATATAGTACCTACTGAAGAAAAGTCAGACAAACTTACCGCATAGTGGACAAGGGACCGTGTCCTTCTTCACGACGTGAGTCTTCATGTGTTCACGCAGGGAACACGCACTCGTGAACAGCTTCGAGCACACTGAACACGTCTCTAAGTCTACGGGCATAGGACAAATATTAAATCCACCCCTTTTAACCACAACGATTTAATACGATCTTAATTTGATTGAGGTTTTTAGATTACCAGCAGCGAACGCAAATGTAAGCAGTACCCATAGCAAGAACCAATATCGAATTCGTAACGTTTGCGAGTCCGAAATGTCAGTGACAAATGTGTACTGTACCCCTAGCACGAACCATTAACGAATTCGTAACGTTTGCGAATTCAAAATGTCAGTGACAAATGTGTACTGATTTTTAGTTCTCGTTACGTACTTTGTGCCGCTGCTGTTCAAGTTTCCATACAAACTTGGCATTGACATTTCGGATTGCAAACGATTCGAATTCGATAATGATTCGTGCTAGGGGTACTGATTTTTAGTTCTCGTTACGTACTTTGTGACGCTGCTGTTCAAGTTTCCATACAAAATTTGACATTGACATTTCGCACTCGCAAACTATTCGAATTTGATAATGGTTAGCACGAACCAATATTGTTCTGTCCGTTGTGGCGCTGTTCAAATTTTCATTCAAAACTTCTTGGCATTTGATGCGCATCGAAGTCGAATTCAAATATACGAATTCAGTATTGATTCGTGCTAAGGGTACTACAAATTTCGTTTACTGCAACGCGCTAACTTCACAGCCGTCATTAAATTTAAAACACATTAATTACATTAATTGTTACTAAATAAAAATGTGACCTCAATCTCATTACTTTAGGAATAAAAAAAATCAAACCACTATTTGTTTAAATTAAGGTGACCTAGCCAGTATTTTATGGAAGTTGACCTCAATACATGTTTATAAGTATGATGTCAGCTTACAATTTGACGACACTGTATGAAAACATGGAGAGAAAAACAGCCCTTGCTGAATTTCTTGCCTGTTCTTCTCAGTACAAGGTCTCCCGCCGTAGAATTGCGAATCGATGGAGTAGCTTTCGGCTTTCACATGTGCTTCCAAAAGCCTGAACTGAATAAATTAATATTGAATTTTGTTTGTGAATTTGACAGCCAGCAGTGTTGTCATCGGTTCTCTTATCATGATATGTATAATTGTATATACTATTATTATTTTCACAAAAAGCTAATACGAATCCCATATGACAAGCTTTAGGATTTCCTACGAATGTATTTTCTTCATCATCATCATCAGCCTATTAATGTCCCCACTGCTGGGGCACAGGCCTGCCCTATGGATGGAATAGGGAGATTGGGCCATGACCCACCACGCGGGCCCCGCGCGACTTGGTGGGTACTAACGACTGCAGATGCAGCCGGAACCAACGGCTTAACGTGCCTTCCGAAGCACGGAGGAGCTCGAGATAGTAAATTTTTGGTCACCCATCCAAAGACCGACCACTGCGAAAGTTGCTTAACTACAACGATCGCAGCCAAACGCGCTAACCACTTACGCAATCGAGCTCCTCATGTATTTTCTTACTTCCTTGAAATTAGTGTTCAATTATAAGTTACTCACTCTCTCCTGTGTGTTTCCGGATGTGATAAGTCAGCTTAGATTTCTGGACAAATGTCTGCCCACAGTAGAGACAAGCGTACGATTTGTCTTTTGTGTGTGTCCTAAAAGAGATTATTTTAATACACAATATTCACTTATAAGTGTTTGCTATGTTATTGATAGTTTTAATTTTAAAAATTTATATTATATGGAAATATAAACACTTTGTATGAGTCCCCTAACTAGGCAATGCATATATATAATATAAAGAAAAGTTTACTAGAAAAATTTTTTTTTTCTAGTAAACCTTTTTTAGATCTAAAATTTACCTGGAATGTGCAGTACAAGCTCCCTTATCGGAGAACGTGCGTGGACAGTGAGGGCATCCGTATGGCCGCTCGCCTGTATGCCTTCGTTCGTGTCGCAACATGTTCGACCGTTGCACGAAACGTTTGGGACAATACGAGCACGCGTGACGCGGTCCCTCGTGAATCTGAACGTGCTCCCGGAACGAGTCCTTCTTCTGTGTGATTAAAAAAAACAACTTTATAATGAGCCCCTTTATTTTGGTTAATGGGACGAAACAGCAAGCTATCAGTTGATAATAAACTCTTGATCTATAAAGTCATCTTGAAGCCTGTATGGCATTCAACTATGGGGAAGCGCAAGTAACTCAAACATCCAAATTATCCAGCGAATGCAAAACCTTATAATACGGTGCCTCTCTAATGCTCCGTGGCGAACTAACAGCGAGATCCGCAAGTATTTAGAAATTAACACGGTAAAGGATGAAATCCAAAACACCACAATGAAGTGCTAAGTAAGACTGGAAAGTCATCCGAACGAACTGGCAGTCAACTTAACAAACCGCAGATATTTTAATCGCCTTAAGCGTAAAGATATCTTGTCTCTCTAAGGATAATGAGCAAACAGTAGATGCTCTCAATGGAGGGCATACTCGTATAAATAAAAACACTATTTCCAACGCATTTGCTTAAAGCTTGGAGCTGACTGCAAAAAAACATAAAAGAAAAATTAACTCAATACGCTAATTCGTTAAACATAAAACTAAATTTTACAGGAGTATGTATTTCCTTTTCATTGTGTATAGAGTATAGCAACGATAAACTCTTGTCAAAGGACATTGGGCAAAAATGTATGGACGCTGCACCCACGTCCGCCACAGTTTAAACTACATTTGTTTGAAAAGTATTATAGTCATGATCATCTGTGCCAAAGCGCATCAAATTCCATCCCGGGGGTCTTCAGTTATTTTAAGTTAAATAGGAACAAGTACTATAACGGGCGAACATTAATGAAACAAGGGAATTAATAGTTAGTTAATTCGACCCTACATAGGGGGCTCAGGTATTATGGGAGTACTTCACAAGGTGCAAGGGTGCCCCCTTATGTTATTCTGCCGCCCTAGAGCAAATCCAAAAATCCCCGCATGGGTACGGGTATTTTCAAACATTCTGTTCGTTATAGTAACTTGTCTTCTATGTAAAACGGAGCGACCACATATCACACAAACTTGTCCACGCTTCGAGAAAACATGATTCCAGTTAATCCATACTAATTGACAAAATCGATAATCGTGTTCCAATGTCCAAAGCAATACGCTTTGGATTTAAAATAAAAATCAATGAAGTGACAGGGACAGCGCACACTTTTGACTACCAGGATATTTTTTACGGTGTCATATCTTTTGACTACCAGGATATTTTTTACGGTGTCATATCTTTTGACTACCAGGATATTTTTTACGGTGTCATATCTTTTGACTACCAGGATATTTTTTTTACGGTGTTATAATAAAAAAGGCTAGTTTTTCGTAGATCTATCGATTCATACTAATAGGGGTGATGACGGGGTACAGTAAACAAAATTCTATGTAGTCCGTCAGTTAGATGATCAAAAAATAATGGACACGTAGGTATTTTTTCTTTGGGCAATCAACCAAAAAATGAAAAGTAGGGGCTCGTGACGAATTGAGAAATGAGTGAATTTTCACTTATAAGTGTACTCAAACGTGACGTCATGCGACTTTTCAAATCAATATATCTCTGCAATGTTTATATCTTTTTGATAATCTACCTGATAAACGAAGAAAAAAAAATGTCATCATCCCTATTATATTGTTGGCGGAGCTGGGTGTGTTTTGCCCATTGTCCTTTAGATTTTGAAAATCATGCCAGAATTGAGCCCAGTAATTTATGTTGTTAAGTGATACTTCACAAAATACTTAACAGTGATTGCATATTTACTAAGTCTTTCTATTTAACTCGGGGCGTATACAGTTCACCCAAAAAAGTACCATGTTATCAGGCACGTACAAAACTGGTCACTCACCATAAAAGTTTTCCCGCAGTAGTTACAAGTATAGGACTGCTGGTTAGGCCTGTGTTCTTGCTTGTGCATGTACAAAGAAGATTTGTGCTGGAATGATTTGCCGCACTCGTTGCAAGAGAACGGGTGCCGACCCGGATGTCGGATCAAGTAGTGAAGTTTCCTGAAACAAAACACCACTATATTTGGGATTTTTAAAGTATATTGCTTGAAGGAATTACAGTATATCTAGTGAGAAATATACGAGTTATAGCTTTTGTCTGGTGAACCCATGCTGTGAGGCAGATTCTAGGCAAATAACACTTCCTTAGAGCAAGCGCAAATTGAGCACTTAATCATCATCATCATCAGCCCATTAATGTCCCCACTGCTGGGGCCCTTCCCTATGGATGGAATAGGGAGATTGGGCCATGACCCACCACGCGGGCCGAGTGCGGATTGGTGGGTGCTAACGACTGCAGATGCAGCCGGCACCAACGGCTTAATGTGCCTTCCGAAGCACGGAGGAGCTCGAGATAGTAAATTTTTGGTCACCCATCCAATGACCGACCACTGCAAAAGTTGCTTAACTTCAACGATTGCAGCCGAACGCGCTAACCACTTGCGCCATCGAGCTCCTCCAGTTTAATTGCGGCAAAAATTTAAACTCGAGCACTTAATTGCGGCCTCTAAACACGACCACTAGTAGCTCAGTCAAGCTACTACAGTCACTAAAAGCCACTAAAATAAGTCGCTAGTGGCTTAGTGGCGGCCACTCGAACGATTAGACAAAATCTAAAAAAAACTCAAACGCAGCTTGTGTACGTGTTTAATGGTCACTACTAATGGCTTAATTTACGCCTGTTCTTAATGTAGTGTTCCTTTTGTAAGATCGACAAAAGTCAGTTCTCCATGTGGCAGAGACAGTGGAAGTGGCTAGGTATTCTGTTTCTATATTTTTCATAACCAGTATAGTTTTTACACTAACCATTAAGTGTGATGATTTTTTTAATTCAGAATATAAAAAAAACTATGAAGTTAAGTTTCATACACTCGAGACCAGTTTGAAAGTGACTACCTCTTTTTATAACCAGTATATTTTTTACACTAACCGTTAAGTGTGGTGAAGTAATTTTTCTCAGATATATAAATAAATACTGTAAAATTTAGATTTTAATAAATTAAATTATTATGTTTAACATAAGATGATAAATTAGTTATGTATTATGATATTATGATCTAAATACATACCTCTCGTCACTCGTATACATGACTTCTCGACACAGTTTACACTTGAACTTGCCGGGGCCATGAACCTGTGTCATATGCGTAGCACACGCGCGAGCTGTGGCGAAATCCCGTCCGCATATCACGCACGTACTGCTGTGTTCCTGCTGCATTGCTTCTGGGCTGTGGACTGACTGTAAGAGAATGTATATACGTATCTTTACATAGTTTAAGGGAGGTACGGCACAGCGAATTTCCCGCTCGAAAAGGCAGTATGAAAAATAATGTACCAATTATTGGCATCTGTATATAATATAAATATTTAGATGACCTCCGTGGCCAAGTGGTTGGTGTGTTTCATGGTGTTGCCGAATCGAGAGGTCCCGGGTTCGAATCCCTGCGGGGACACAGATGTTTGTGTGATGAATACGAGCAATTGTACTCCAGTCATGGATGTTTAATATGTATTTCTATAAAAATATAGTTATATATGTACAGTGTATGTATTCTATCCGTTAACCTAGTATCCTATATAACACAAGCCTTACAGTGCTTACTTTGGGGCTAGGCTAATTGGTGCGAGTGTTGGAAATATATATTTATTAATATTAGCAGCGTTTATACTACTCTAGAAAGAACAAATAAATTCATAATGTTCTATAAAATCATTAAATAAAACCAAGACTAAATTGACGTAACACGCTAGTAAACTTCTGGCCAAAGTGACATTACATTGTATCGTTTGACATTTTAATGACAGTAATGTCACGTCACACCCGTGTGAGACGCCATAATGTCCAGAGAAAAGTTTTCGCGGCAACTTCAAAATAAAATTTTATAATTTAGTTTTTCTTTACTGAATTACACAATAGAATTTAAATTTCCACTTTTTATATACACCCTAAATATAAGTAAATAACGTGAGATCATTTTCTAAAACTTGTCAAATTTAAGCGCCAAGCTGGGGAAGTATCCTCTAGCTTATGGAAGACCACAGTAAAATAACACTACCCTTGGTAGTGTTGTATTTCTGTAGGTGAATTAAGGTTCCAGGGCTCCATGGGGTAGGTGATTGGGTCAGGGTAGGCATCAGCACACATGTTATTTTCGGTATTGCAAGCATATATAGGCTAAGGTGGTAGCTTACCAACAGGCAGGTCATATGCTTGTTTACCACAATTTTAACATAAAAAAGTATAAAATAAAGTAGCTCCCGCTGTATGTACTAGTAACCGTAATGAATCGCTTTTCTACAACTATATCATGTTATATAATTATATACCCAGGGATATTACTATATTAAAATTTTATCTATCTTACTGTGACATATACATGCCCAAGAACAAAGACAGTCTTCTTCGAAACAAAGTGAGGCGACTAGTTTTTATAAATAAAAAGGTTATGAAACAAGAACATGGGCCATCTGATGTTAAGCAACTATCATAGCTTATAGACACTTGTGATGCCATTCAGTATCACTCATAGCTGTCTTATCCCCTAACCCCATGTAGCCTTGAAACCTTACCAACACTATCCAAAGTAACTTTAGCTGCAATGCGATGCAAACTAAAGGGTAGATGTGTTGTCCTATAAACAAGACGCAGCAAATTAATTTACAGATGTTATTGTCAATGGAGTATTATTGTGAAAACATGCTGCTCCAGCCGAGTTTGTATTGCAATGTATTACAACCTATCTGGCAGATTTATGCATATTATATCTTTTATTTGAAAAAGAACTACCATCTGTAACTGATAAATAAGAAATGATAAGTTAAAAAGGAAACACTCACCTTAACATGAATTTTAAATGACTTTCTGTGACTCAGAGGTTTGTAACGGCAAGATCCTAAGGAACAAAATATTTTTCTAGCATCAGGATGATCTGCTGCAAAATGTATCCTCATATCTTCAACTGTTGGTATGACTATACTACACAGACAACACTTGAACAGGTAGTAAATGTTGTCATGTTCTTCTTGATGCTTCTCTATGTAGTGGTGTATAAACCAAACCTGAAAATAAAATACATTTAAAAACAAATCCTTAACAGCAAATTTTTTTCAAAACTTTGTCAGCATAATGTTCTGTAACTTTTCTCTGCAATGTAAGTTTTAGAACCATCATGACAGATTCTTTTTAAAAGTAAATGTCATCTGTGTATCATACAAAAATAAACTTTGAATGAAACAATATACATATAAGATACATATACAGGGACATCAATACATTTAGCTCAATAACCATCAACATTTAAAAATTATATTCTTATAATTTATAAATTCAAACCCTCACAAAATCATATAGACATAATGAATACCTTATCACTAAATATCTCAGAACAGCTTTCACATTTGTAACAATCCTCTTTATGTTTATTAAAATGAACTCTGATTTGATGGGTCTTCCTATCTGTTTCATTCCAAAACAATGTTGGGCAATATTTACATTTAAATCCCAGATGAGGACTAAAACAGTTATCATATTCCAAAATATCCCAGTGCTCATTCAAATGACGCCTTGTTGATTCTCTATTATCAAACTCTTTTTCACAAAACTGACACAGCCATAAATCGTCAAATTCTTTCAGTTCCTCAGATGCATGAGTTTCAAGCTCATTTAAACTACTAAATGTAGTTGCACATAACCTACAGTTATATATAGGTTCTGCCTTAACTGAATGCATTCTCTTCATATGAACAGTATAGTCTTGTACTGAGTCAATATTTGTTTTGCAAAGGGAACAGTCAATTTTCATTGTCACATCAGTTTTGGCACTTTCATAGTCAATTGTCGATTCTTCTGGGAGTACTTTAGCATTGATTTGATTGATAATTTGCTCAATATAGTCAAAGAAGCATTTTTGTAACACAATCAGCTCCACAGATGTTACATCAAAGTCTTCGTCTCCTAGATAAGTTTCTGATAAATCCTTCTCCTTAGATTCAGGCTCATCTTGTTCTTTTGGTTCGTTTGGTTCATCATTTTCACTAACAACTTCTTGCTTGATTTCTGGTATGAGAACATTCATTATGTTATTTGCATCAATGCTGTCAGTCTCACAGTTTTCCTGACTTTTCTTTTCCAAGTCTGTATAGCCATATCTCATTTGATTGAGTTCACCATCTACAAACTGAGAGCTTACATCAGCACCATCCACCGTGAACGGTATGTCCTGACCTGAAATAATGCTTGCAAAACATTTCATTGTAAAACGATGATAGCCCATGTAGTGATTGAAGAAATTTATTGACAAGTTATTTGGTTTGGAACACAAAACGCAGAGAAACTTAGGACTGCCATCATACTCATGGTCCCATAGGATGTCTTCACTTTTGCTGGATATATTTGTGACATTGTGTTTTTGAAACAAGTGGTTATCGTATTGGTCATCATCAGACAGTCTAAAATGGCAAAGACGACAGTGGACTAGATTGTGTGCAGCACTCAAGTGATGCCGCATTTCTGGTTCTGTCTCATAACATTCAGTACATTGAGAACATGACCAGGGTGCATGAAATTCCATATGTTTTACATATGTCTCTTTATCTTCAACAAAATATCTGGAAACATAAAATAAAAGTATTAGAATCAATTTTTAATAAATGTGTAAAATTAATTTCATGTACCTAATCTGTTGTAACTTGGTCTGACTGAGCAGTAATAGAACACCTAATCTTCATATTCATTTAGCTTTCAGCTGAATAAATTTACTCAATTTATGCTTTACTACAAAAAATGTAACAAAAACAAACGTTGCAGTTTAGGAGGCAGAAATATTTATTTTTTTATTTAACTCTCAGTCAACTAGGTAATAAACATGAACATGCAAGTTACTAATGCTTTTGTAGAAATAATTTCAGCCAATAAGCTGACAATATTGTTATGGCACAACTAAAGACCCCATTATAAGATTACTTGCTCAGTGACCCCATCAACACCAACTGTGCTGTGTTGTGTGTACTTATCAATATCAGGCTACCACCATTGCCATCTGATAGGGAGCAAACCACAAAACTAGTAAGTCTGGTCAATTTGCAGTTTACATGACAAAAATAACATAACTATTGTAAAACATACCTGCATATACCACAGAACTCTTTTTTATGATTTGTGATGTAATGAACCATTATTTTAGTCCTGTTTATGAACCATCCAGGACACAGAAGGCAACTATAGGGCCCAGAAGGGTTTAAATCTTTCATATACAACCAAACATCCGCAGGCCGTTCTAATACCTTGTTCTCGTTTTGACCAAATTTGATTGTAAGAGAGAGATTTTTATAACCGGATAGATTCTTCTTTTTCGAGTCTCCATCTTCATCGATAGATTTCACCTTTTTTATCTCGAACTTCTCTGTATTTAGCTTTTTTGTCGCGGCTAATATAGACAGCGGTTCATCATCGGAATCGTCCGAACTCATTTTTAATTGAAACTGATTGTACTTTTATTAATAATAAATAAAAAACAACAAATAAATAGATAGAATCGCTTTTGCGATTATGACAAGCATTTTTTTTTTGGTTAAGTTCTCCCTTTTCAGGGAAGGCAAGGGGAACAATGCCCATACAGCCTAGTCTTAAGTTAAATTATTCTGTTTTCTTGTACATTAGAATGTCGGTGTGACGCATTCTAATGTTTCTTGAAGTGTTTTCCACTTGACCGGAAAAGCGTATATTTTGACGATTCTACTAATTCTTCAGTTACGCAGACAGTTGTAACACAAAATCACACCAATTTTATTTTACAATATCCACTATGAACGAATTTAAGAATAATTAAAATAAGACGCCAACCACACTCGATGAAATCCCGCCAAAACTCTTTTGACAAGCAAACAATGCAGTGTTACCAAGTTATATTGTACTAATATACCAAATCAAAGCACAAAAAAACTTAGTAGACCGATATCACTGAGAGCAAATATTAAACGTATTTAAAATAGTATTTTTATCTATTTATAATTTAATTAGTAAGAATGAGATTTACATAGGTATCTACTTTATGGATATTATATACAGGGTGTAAGAGGAACGCTCCTGAAGCCGAAATAATGTGATAATCTATGAAATTGTAAACTAATAGAAGTGGTATTTTTTTTATTGGCCGTTTTTAACAAATTAGGAATTTTTAAGCGCGCAATGTAAGACGTGCAAATACTCGCCGTTCAACGGCTCTCCAGTCGTACTACATCCCCCGTACTAATACGATGCCTCGTGCACTTCCAGTGTACAGTCGCGTTCTAAATTGTTTTATTGTTGTTTTTTTTGTTAAGTTTGTTTTGTTGATTTGTTTCTTGTGCAAACAAATTAGGTACGTAGCATACGCACAGAATGACAGGCTTCAGTTGATGCACGAAACACGTTTTATTAACTAAACTATTACGTATCAAAATCTGTTATTGATGTAATAGAGAAACCTATCTGGTTTAATGAGTTCATTAAACCTAGGTACCTACTTAATTGATGACCTTTTTGCTGTTTTAAAATGTGTCTCGAACTGCGCTCTATTCTTCTCAATGCAAACTCGAGCTCGTCCTTAGGTCTCTTGGTGAAGACGAGGCAATAAAGGGTCCATAACACAGCCTGCATCTCATTTGCACTATCACACTTCCGATTTAACACTGGTTCTTTAACGTAGCTGGAACGGAACTCGCTGCCAGCAGGTATCAGAAACAGTCCAACTGTTGCTACATTTAAAAAACGGTTGAAAGAACACTATTTATCCTCTTGAATCACTGTTTCCGAACTGTATTGCTTCTCCTTTTAACACTTGTATGTTTTATTTTAGTATATATGTTTATTTGTACATCTATGTAGATATATATGTAGGTTTTGTTTATGTAAGTAGGTATTGTATTTTGTCATTTATATTCAGGAGGCACACACTGACGACCTTTTATTTTATGTTTTTTCCTTTCGCGGGCCTGCTGGAAGAAATTTCAATATGAAATAAGCAGTGGCCTTGTACACATTTCTTGTTTCTGTTCTTATCTGTTTTATTGTGTGTACTAAATTACACTAGACAGTCCGTGGCAACCAAAGTGGCCACGAGCACACACCCCTCAACAGTCCGTGGCCACTTTGGTTGCCACGTTCAAATTTCCGCGCGACCTGCTCTTTTTCTACAGACTATAACGAATACTTGTACTTTTGGACTTTAAACCCGCTACGCACGGTATCGTTAAGTTATTTGTAACGTACTAGTATCACCGGAACAACCTAGTCTACTTTGGGAAAAATTAAAAAAAAAACTGACACAACATTTCAACATTTTCTTTCGTGATTGTGATCAAGTAAAGTGATAACGTGCTGCTTTTTGTGTTAAAAAATGCCGTAAGTACCTATATCTTTGTTATATTATATATCCAGATATTTGTGATGATACAGGCTTTCATATTTGTAAAAGACTACCGCAAGAAAATTGATCTGGTAATCATAAACTTAACCTAAAGATTGACCGTTAGAAAAAAATATCATAGGCGGCATTTCAATGGCCGAGAAATTATACGAATTTGTTTCAAAATATTGTTAAATTACGTCGTATTATTACAAAACCTATTTAAATAGGTTACATCAAGAATACATTTAATTAGCACACGATTTAAACGATTCATGGTATATAGCTATATCGACGTCATCACAGTGGCCGAAAATCGGCCATGTACTTTTAAAAAATAAGGGTCAGGCCATGTGCCAATTCCAAATCGCATTTTATTTTTTAGGTAGGAGACGCGAATATTTTTTTTTAAATGCCTATTTCGATGTTTTGTGGTCATTTTGCTCGCTGGAAAATCGCACTGAAAGTTTGTTACGCAATCACGCAAAAACTATTGAACAAATTTGGATAAAATTTGGTACACATATAGTTTATGACCTGGATTGAGACAGGATACTTTTTATCCCGGATAATTTTCAGTTTCCTGTGGGATTTTCAAAAAACTAAAGTTAACGCGGATAATGTTGCGGGCGGCCGCTAGCTAGTGATTTGTGACAACCAGAACACTAAACTCCATACATTATTATTTTAGTTCTGATGAGCAAATTGTTGGACGAGGACGAGGACGGGGACGTGGGCGCGGTCGGGGGCAAGATGCCATTGCCTCTACTTATGTGATTGTTTTTAATCCCCGACACAACACAAAACCGGCCAAGTGCGAGTCGGATTCGCGCACGAAGGATTCTGTTTGTGTTTCTGTGTGTCTGTCATTATGTATATGTTTCAATGTGGTTTTATAATTTTAATTTAGCTGTGCAACTTTAATAACAATATTTCAGATTGGGCACCCCGTTGCAGTAGGTGCCAGTGGTACTACCCCGGAAAGGTAACATACATACATACTATGAAGTAAAGCCTATTTTCATTGTATTATACTTTTATTCTACTTTTTTCAGCAATGAAGAAGTCCTAGCGAGAATTCGCATGCAGCGACAATACGAAAAGCCACCAAAGTAGCTTGTCTGTCGCTGCACGCCAAGAGCTATTAGAAAGGAAGCCGAGGGCTCAACTGCATCGGGTCTTGTTACCCGATGCACCCCCTCGCAAGCGGCGCGCGCAGTAAGTTATATTATTACTTATTAATATTATAAATATTAAGTTAATTTTTAAGTTTGTATAAGTTGTGACATTTCATATTTTTGTAAAACGAGATGAACATTCCCAATATATATATATATATATATATATATGTGTGTGTTTGTGTACTTTTAGACATCCATCACTGGAACGCAACGCTTGCGAATTTGTGCCCGCCCCCGCGATCGCTGTGGCCGTACCCGAACCGGAGCCCTTGCCTGAACCTGAACCCGAGCTCATGCTTGAACCCGAGCTCGTGCCTGAGCCGGCTTTTGAAGTAATTATTGGTAAGTGTTATGCCCTGAACATAAACCACAAGTAAAAATACACAACCCAAACCAAATACATTACATTATTATTGAAAATGTTGACTCCGTTTTGTAAAATCTTTAATTTTTTTTACAGAGTTAATAGCTCCGCCAGCTGCTGCTCGGCCAAGCCAGAATGTGATCCGTAAGTATACTTTATTTAAATCCACCTTGAGTTTGAGACATCATATATTAACCACGGACGGATGAGGTGGTGTTATAAGTTTGTGTTATTATTGGGTGTTTCTTTTTCCTTTTTTCAGATGTCAACGACCCTAACTTTGAATCGACTGTGACTGACTGGCTTCACCAACTCGAGACGCAAGACAGTGACGATGACGACCTTGACTTCGTACTTCGATGACGGCATCTCTTTCACGACTGCGCCACCGCGGACCGCAACTGACCAACCAGCGGACAATACGGGACTGACCGTTACTGAGGCAGAGACTTTACGGGTAGAGGAAGAAACCAGCGACCGCCACGTTCGGGAGTTGGCTTCTCCCGACGACTATTATGAATTTAACTGGACTTCAGACAGACAGACTTTTGTCAGGTATTTTCTGGTTTTCCAGGACCCACTTTCCCCATAACCGACACGACTCGACCGGTCGACATTTTTTATAAAATGTTCGACACTGACTTCATAGACATGATGGTGACAGAAACTAACAGGTACGCCGACCAGAGAGTAGCAGCAGCTAGACAGGACGCGACTAGGACTATGGCTCGCTCTCTGCGTTGGAAACCGACTGACCGTGACGAAATGCTGGCATTTTTGGCAATAATGATGTTGCAGGGATTATACCCTAAAGTAAAGGAGGAATCCTATTTCTCATTTGATGGGTTTGGGACGACTCCTTACTTTGGCCGTATAATGTATCATTTGCTACAACAGGTATCATTTGCTCAAAACTTTCCAGCATTTCATCGACAATGACACAACGACGGACATGACTAAACTTAACAAAGTGCGACCCGTCCTTAACGTCCTCATAAATAAATAAATAAAAGAATAGCTCTACAAAAAAATATTCCCAAAGGTGTTTTCCGGAGAGCGCGCCGGCCAGGCTCGTGGTTTGTTGATCCATCCAACGGTCTTCGAAAAACTCGGTACGGGCGGCATACAATATGGTGGTGCACCGTCGGGTTGAAACCATACTCGTTGTAACTTATGTTGTGTAGCTTGGCCAGTGATATTTCATCTATCATATCGAACATTTTTTTCTTTTTTTTATCATATCGAAGAAGTTTTTCATCTACCGCAAGTTGACAAGGATCCACGCATTATACTGAAGTAATAAAGATACAACGTTAAATATATTTTTTTGCTGATTTTCTCGAAATCCCTACTTACCTAAATATACATTTGTAATTACACAGCACTTCAGGTACAAAGTTATTAGCCCCTTCGTACACCTCTAAACGTTATTAATGTAGTCTTTAATTTTCCATAATAAAGTTAGATGATACTTATACAGTTATACCTGTATTTTGATTTTTTTTTGGGGGGTTGATCTTAAACCTCACCATATATCATCACGGAGGAGGGAAGTTTAAAAAAATGTCAAAAAAAAAACATCTTTTAAAGATTTTTTATTCACAGATTTGTAATTTGTATTGGCGAGTCGATTG